GTAGAAGTGTATGCAGGAAACAAGGTGACGGGCAGGTGTAGGAATGTCATGCTTGTTTGCCAAAAGTAGCATTGACACACGCATGTGGTACTTTCAAGGTCAATGGTTGAAACAGAAACAAACATTTCAGCAGATGCCTGGACAGATAATGCTGCAGCCAATAACGCTTGGACACAACTGGGAGTCAGCTACTGGCCACCGGGTCATGCCTTGAAGAATGAATAAGCAATTGTGTCTTTGTTTTGAACCCATTTTTTGAGTCAAACACTGTGTCATGATATCCATTTTTGACAGTCAACTGATCGTTCAAATTGCTTAGATAGTCCGGCTCAAAGCTAAAAAAACTGTTGAGCTAGCTTTAATTCTTTTTATTTTGCTAAAGCCTTTGACTGCTTTCATCAGTCAATGACATGTTTTCTTTAGGTGTCTTTGGCTTTTTCAAAAATTAAATTTTGTAATGGTTTCTTACTAATTCTGCATAATTTAGCTACCCATTGCGCAATAATTACATAACCCCAAATATGACAATCATCTGTTATTTAGTTTTGGGGTCTGGGTGCAGCTAAAATAGAAGCTTTTCTTTCCCATGAATTAAACCTTCCATCTTTGGTAATGGTATGACCTAGGTATTAATTTCTGGTTTCCATAACTGTATTTTATTTTTTGCTGACCTTATTGCCAGTTTTAGCAAGTGTTTCAGTAAAGCTATAGTATCTTTTTTACAGCTCTCAACTGTCTTCAAACGCCCACCAAATGTCATCCACATAGCTCAAAATCTGGCTTCCCTCAGTGGATTAATAATAAGCAAGACAACAATTTTTTTATTGCATCTACGAGTAAATAGTTGGGGATTCAGCGAACCCCTGGATTATCTTGTGAAAAACATATCTTTCCCTTCAATGGTAATTGCAAACCAAAATTGACTGGTCTTTATGCACTGGATTGACCAAAATGCATTGCTGAGATCAATTCACAGAGAAGATTTTTGCCTCTGGTCATAATTGTTTAAGCAGTGTATGTGGATCTGGTACATTAGGTGCTCTGTTGAATAACTGCCTTCATTCACAGCTCGCAGATCTTGTACATTTCCAGGCGGTGGATGGAGATGCCTTTTTGTACTGGAGGAAATTTGGTGTGTACAAGGGGAATATGAGGATTGTGACTTATTCCTTATTTTAATTAAATCTGTATTACCAGTTTTTATTCCTTTCTACTGCATCAGGTTTTTAAAGGAATTGTTTCATCAGGCCTGTACAAACCTGTTGTTTTTGCTTGGAGTTTTTTTATGGGAGTAAAATAGGCCAGAACAGCGCTCCCTACAAAAACTCAGTTTAGCATTGAGCATATGGGAGATGGTCCGAGGTCAATTTTGTTGTAGTGCCACATAAAATTTGGTACACATATTCCCCAATTCAAGCTACGCCCCTGACAAACAGGAAGCTCAATGAATTGCACAGCAAAATGGAAAAATTGAAAATTGATAATTTCTGAGAATTTTTTACATTCTGTGTCAAGGGCAATGTACACCTTGCACAAACATCACCAGACCTTGGCCGTTTCACCGATTTTGGCTGCAAATAATTCATCTCAACACACTGTACAATCAATAGTTAGGTAGAATTTGAAGTCCACATGGTCATCCAATGGAGACTGTATACAGGCCTTGGAAATGTATTCGGCCCCCTTGAACCTTTCAACATTTTGCCACATTTCAGGTTCAAAACATAAAGATATAAAAGTAATATTGTTTTTGTCAAGAATCAACAACAAGTGGGACACAATCGTGAAGTGGAGAAATGTATTGGATAATTTAAACTTTTTTAACAATAAAAATCTGGAAAGTGGGGGTGCTTATTATTCGGCCCCCTTGCGCTATTTACTGTTGTAGCACACTTTTGCTGCAATACAGCTGCAAGTCGCTCTGGGTATGTGTCTCTATCAGTTTTGCACATCGAGAGACTGGAATTCTTGCCCATTCTTCCTTGCAAAACAGCTCGTGCTCAATTAGGTTGGATGGAGAGCGTTTGCCGGTGAACAGCAGTCTTCAGCTCTTTCCACAGATTCTCATTGATTCAGGTCTGGACTTTGACTTGGCCATTCTAACACTGGATAAAGTCTATTTGTGAAACCATTCCATTGTAGATTGGCTTTATGTTTTGGATCATTGTCCTGTTGGAAGATAAAATCTCCGTCCAGTCTCAGGTCTTTTGCAGACTCCCAACAGGTTTTCTTCAAGGAATGGTCCTGTATTTGTCACCATCTTCCATCATTTTTAGCCATCTTCCCTGTCCCTGCTGAGAAAAGCTAGGCCCAAACCATTGATGTGCCACCACCATGTTTGACAGTGGGGATGGTGTGTTCAGGGTGATGAGCTGTGTTGCTTTTACACCAAAACTATCGTTTTGCATTGTGGCCAAAAAGGTTCGATATTGGTTTCATCTGACCAGAGCACCCTTCTTCACATGTTTGGTGTGTCTCCCAGGTGGCTGTGGAAAACTTTAAACAAGACTTTTTATGGATATCTTTGAGAAATGGCCTTTCTTCTGCCACTCTTCATAATGGCCAGATTTGTGCAGTGCACGACTGATTGTTGTTCCTATGGACAGGGACTACTCCCACCATAGCTGTGTTATCTGCAGTTCATCCAGAGTGATCATGGGCCTATTTGGCTGCATCTCTGATCAGTCTTCTCATTGTTGAGATGAAAGTTGAGGGGACGGCGGGTCTTGGGAGAATTTGCCGTGGTCTGATACTCCTTCCCATTTCAATATAAATGCTTGCACAGTGCTCCTTGAGATGTTTAAAGCTTGAGGAAATCTTTTTTGTATCCAAATCTGGCTCTAAAATTCTCCACAACATTATCTCGGACCTGCCTGGTGTGTTCCTTTGTCTTCATGGTTTCTTTGCGACTTTAAAACTGATACCTGAGGACTATCAGAAGAGCAGCTATTTATTCATTATTTTTCATAACATTTATAAGAAACATTTAAACTCCTTTACCACGATTTCTCTTGTCGCTCATGGATGTTACACCTGTCAATAAGGGCAATCAGTTTGGCCTTGACCTTTTTCCCCAGTTCTAAAACTGCTCAATAGGGGGAGTACCAGAGCAGGTGGTTATAGTTATGGGAAAATAATTAATTTTTACTGTCTATGGAAAATACGGATTAAGATAAAGGAATCAATTAATTATAAATATTTGTCCTCATAATGTATAAACACATTGTTTAATCAATAGAAATTATTTGTAAGAAATTGAATTCAATTTTGGACAAGCAGAAATGTTAGACTAGTGATAGAATCCTCTGAACAAACATAATGAAAATCATCTGTAGATTGTGGCAAATCTGATTATGTGCCCCTAATGAGACAATCACACTCATGTTTTTAACTGATGGGCTGTTGTGTTAAATTGTTATCTACGAACAAACTTGAGTGAAAATAAACTTTAGAAGAATAAAATAGATATAAATGTTACTTTTGAATCAAAGTCTCTTGTCATTTCAAGTGCATTGAACCAGTGTTACCCTTGAGCGTTTCTCCGCCTTGTAATTGGGCTGCAATAAAACTGGAAATACACCAAATACATACCAAATTAAATATTCTCAAATATAGATGCTGCACTGGCGCCCTCGTCTGGTCAAAGAGGGAAGTAATATGTCAGGATAAATGACAGCACAAAATTACATTTATGTAAAAAATATGCAATAGGATTTTAAGTTTTGCCCAAACAAGCACACACGTCCCCAAAACTTTTCCCCCCAAATTTTAGGCTGTGACTGTTTTATTTGTAGAATATAATTTCCCGCCTAAATAACTAGGTATGAGTTTCTTAATGATCCTCTTTTTCCATGACATTCAAACACAAGAGACGAGAAGTGATTGACACAACAACAGCCAAAAGACTATGTTTACATTTTTGAATGATCTCATTGAGCACTTTTTCTGTGGAACATTTATAGTAGATTATGATCCACTATAAATGTTCCACAGAAAAAGTAAAGGAAATATTATCTTCAACAGTCGTGAAAAGTGCACACAGTTTTGTTCTTCATGATAATGGATGTATACAAGTGTGTGTTTTCTGCATGAAATCCTTTTTTACAACAGAATCAGTTCAAATACATAGAATCACAGTTGTTTAGTGCCAGGATGTAATTCATGATGTTTGTCAAAAAAGTACAGAGATGGAGCAGCATCCCCTGAAAAATAATTCATACATATCTGAAAACGTTTTATTTTGATTTTAACTATACATTAAACTAAAAAGCTAGTTTCATTTTCTGTTGTTTTGCTTTATTTTTATTTTTTGAATATGTCATCCTGTTTATGCCAAATGTGACATATACTGACTTATAATTTTAAATTATAAACCTTAAGTAACTTCCAATCAGTTAAAGAAAAGGCTTTCAGTATTATTTACATGTATGAAATTCAAACTAACAGAAAAAATATGATTTTTGTTATTTTGAAAATGTAAACCAAAAGAAAAAAAAAAAAACATATTGAGGTATTCTTCTTCCTGATTGGTTCTTCTCCTCAGTGTTTACTTCAGGAAAGTGAATCCAAAGTGAACAGTCCAACTCTTCTGTGGGCGTGGTTTCTGTTTTCGTCCAATCAGAGCTCTCCAGCTGTTCTTTATAAACTCATTCCAATCAATGCAGCTGTGTTTCTTCACCTCTGCCTGTGGATCGACTGACTGGGTCTTTTCTCTGGGAAACTGGTGAAATGGCAGCTCTTTGGATCCTGTGTCTCTTTTTCCTTGGAACAGCCCACGGTTTGTCACATTGTTACATTTCATTGTGTTGAACAATTGCTAAATAAATAGTTTTTGTTCACTAGTTGGCAGCTGTGATGAAAGCCAGAATGAAATCCATTATGGTGCAAAAGGTAACATTGGCATTATTTTATTTATGAATATATTTACATTGTATAGAATGAGTGTTTGAGCTGTTGCTGTAGGTTCTGAGTCCTCTGACACTAAACCCGTGAAGAATTCCATGGTTCAGCACCTGGCTGCCAATGCTACACAGGGTGAGTTCATGCAGATTTGAAATTATTTTACATTAACACTCAGCCAAAAAACGTTCAGAAATGTCAAGATGTAAAACTGTATAGCGGTGTTCAGCAGTAAACATGTGCTTCTCATGTCTTTGCAGAACAATTGATAAACAATGAAGTGGAAACGGGAGCAGAGCACGTGGTCAAGAAGCACATCTTGCAAATTGACCTAGTACATGATGAAGCTGAGGTGTGTAGACATCCTTCAACTCTACTTTACCCTTTGAGCTTTGAGTATCACAAATATTCTAACGTTGCTGCTTCCTTGGTCACAGCACTTTTAAGATATGAAATCGTTTCCTTTAAGGTTTAGCATGATCCTAATAGTTCTGTAAGGGGAGCATTATATTAAAACTATTTGACCCTTAAAATTAAGGCTGAAGGGCTGTTTCTTCATTAGTATCATGTAAAGTATTGACACACAGAAAGTTGGTCTAAATTCACTGTTTTGTCTCAAAGAACGTGACGGCACTCTCCGACTCTGCCTCCACGAACGTGACTGCGCTCTCCGACTCTGCCTCCACGAACGTGACTGCGCTCTCCGACTCTGCCTCCACGAACGTGACGGCGCTCTCCGACTCTGCCTCCACGAACGTGACGGCGCTCTCCGACCAGGCCTCCAAGAACGTGACGGCGCTCTCCGACCAGGCCTCCAAGAACGTGACGGCGCTCTCCGACCAGGCCTCCAAGAACGTGACGGCGCTCTCCGACCAGGCCTCCAAGAACGTGACGGCGCTCTCCGACCAGGCCTCCAAGAACGTGACTGCGCTCTCCGACTCTGCCTCCACGAACGTGACGGCGCTCTCCGACTCTGCCTCCACGAACGTGACGGCGCTCTCCGACTCTGCCTCCAAGAACGTGACGGCGCTCTCCGACCAGGCCTCCAAGAACGTGACGGCGCTCTCCGACCAGGCCTCCAAGAACGTGACGGCGCACTCCGACCAGGCCTCCAAGAACGTGACGGCGCACTCCGACTCTGCCTCCAAGAACGGTACGGCGCACTCCGACTCTGCCTCCAAGAACGGTACGGCGCACTCCGACCAGGCCTCCAAGAACGTGACGGCGCTCTCCGACCAGGCCTCCAAGAACGTGACGGCGCACTCCGACCAGGCCTCCAAGAACGTGACGGCGCACTCCGACCAGGCCTCCAAGAACGTGACGGCGCACTCCGACCAGGCCTCCAAGAACGTGACGGCGCACTCCGACCAGGCCTCCAAGAACGTGACGGCGCACTCCGACCAGGCCTCCAAGAACGCGACGGCGCTCTCCGACTCTGCCTCCACGAACGCGACGGCGCTCTCCGACTCTGCCTCCACGAACGCGACGGCGCTCTCCGACTCTGCCTCCACGAACGCGACGGCGCTCTCCGACTCTGCCTCCACGAACGCGACGGCGCTCTCCGACTCTGCCTCCACGAACGCGACGGCGCTCTCCGACTCTGCCTCCACGAACGCGACGGCGCTCTCCGACCAGGCCTCCAAGAACGCGACGGCGCACTCCGACCAGGCCTCCAAGAACGCGACGGCGCACTCCGACCAGGCCTCCAAGAACGCGACGGCGCACTCCGACCAGGCCTCCAAGAACGCGACGGCGCACTCCGACCAGGCCTCCAAGAACGCGACGGCGCACTCCGACCAGGCCTCCAAGAACGCGACGGCGCACTCCGACCAGGCCTCCAAGAACGCGACGGCGCACTCCGACCAGGCCTCCAAGAACGCGACGGCGCACTCCGACCAGGCCTCCAAGAACGCGACGGCGCACTCCGACCAGGCCTCCAAGAACGCGACGGCGCACTCCGACCAGGCCTCCAAGAACGCGACGGCGCACTCCGACCAGGCCTCCAAGAACGCGACGGCGCACTCCGACCAGGCCTCCAAGAACGCGACGGCGCACTCCGACCAGGCCTCCAAGAACGCGACGGCGCACTCCGACCAGGCCTCCAAGAACGCGACGGCGCACTCCGACCAGGCCTCCAAGAACGCGACGGCGCACTCCGACCAGGCCTCCAAGAACGCGACGGCGCACTCCGACCAGGCCTCCAAGAACGCGACGGCGCACTCCGACCAGGCCTCCAAGAACGCGACGGCGCACTCCGACCAGGCCTCCAAGAACGCGACGGCGCACTCCGACCAGGCCTCCAAGAACGCGACGGCGCACTCCGACCAGGCCTCCAAGAACGCGACGGCGCACTCCGACCAGGCCTCCAAGAACGCGACGGCGCACTCCGACCAGGCCTCCAAGAACGCGACGGCGCACTCCGACCAGGCCTCCAAGAACGCGACGGCGCACTCCGACCAGGCCTCCAGACCACGCGCACTCCGACCAGCCCAAGAACGCGACGGCGCACTCCGACCAGGCCTCCAAGAACGCGACGGCGCACTCCGACCAGGCCTCCAAGAACGCGACGGCGCACTCCGACCAGGCCTCCAAGAACGCGACGGCGCACTCCGACCAGGCCTCCAAGAACGCGACGGCGCACTCCGACCAGGCCTCCAAGAACGCGACGGCGCACTCCGACCAGGCCTCCAAGAACGCGACGGCGCACTCCGACCAGGCCTCCAAGAACGCGACGGCGCACTCGTCTGAGGAAATGGTCAAACGGCAAAAACGTGAAACGTTCTTCAGACGAGCTAGTCATTCCGCATTGAAGCTTTTGAATAAAATGTTTTACTAAATAATGAATTTACAGCAGTGTTCTTTTTTTCCCCACAATGTTGCTGTGGTTTCATACTTATTTAATTAAAAGTACAGGGAACGTGACTATTACATGCATTTGTAAGTAAAAACCATAATGTCATGGTTGCAAGAACCAGAAATTGGCTCAGGCTACACTGAACTTTGGGGCAGGGTGTATATTGCCACTCTACATCAAATCTCGTTTTGATGGCACTAAAACTCAGTAATTTCCCACTACATTTATTATCCCTACAAAACACCAGGTGCAGTAGCCCGGCTGGTGCAACGGAAACCTGAAGTATCGGCTCCCTCATATTGAAGCCCAGCTGAGGGAAACTTCAGCTGGGCTGCCTGCACAGATGTTGTTGCAGTTCTTCATGGCCATAGTTAATCCTCACCTCCACCGTGTGATTTGCTGGAGACTGTCAGGGACAAAGACTACAGCTCTGCTGAGACTGTGATCAGGCACAGCCTTCCAGCATGGAAGTACCTCGTAAGCTCGCGGCTGGGCTGGTCTCACCACTGCTTTAATGTGATCTGATCCCATTTCACCCAGAAAGTGTTTGTATAGCACAGTTCATTCAGACGGCAACTCCATGTGAAGAATAAAAACCACCACACAAGACAGAGCATAAACACATAAAGAGAAGATGCAATCCCTCAGTGGGACTGGAGAAGAGACTTTGGTCAAAACTTGGATTGAGGAGCAGTGTGATTTTAGTCCCTGCCACGGAACACTAGACCAGCTCTATACTCATCGGATACTCGAGGGTTCATGGGAGTTCGCCCAACCTGTCCACATGTGCTTTGTGGATTTGGAGAAGGCGTTTGACCATGTTCCCCGGGGTGTCTTTTTGGGGGTTATCCGGGAGTATTGGATCCGGGGTCTGTACGACCGGAGCCTGAGCTGTGTTCGCTTTGCCGACAGTAAGTCAGACCTGTTCCCGGTGCATGTTGGCCTCCACCAAGGCTGCCCTTTGTCACTGGTTCTGTTCACCGTCTTTATGGACAGAATTTCTAGGCGCCGGTTCGGGGACCACATGGTTTCATGTCTGTTTGCGAATGATGTCCTGTTGGCTCCAACGAACCAGGACCTGCAACATAGCCTGGGACGGTTTGCGGCTGGGATGAGAATCGGCTCCTCCAAATCCGAGGCCATGGTGCTCGACCGGAAAAAAGTGCCACCTCTCCAGGTGGGCGGAGAGGTCCTTCCTCAAGTGGAGCAGTTCAAGTATCTCGGGGTCTTGTTCACGAGTGAGGGAAGATTGGATCTTGAGATTGAAGGAGGATCGCTGCAGTGTGCGCTGCGATGCGGTCGCTGCGATGCGGTCGCTGCGATGCGGTCGCTGTGATGCGGTCGCTGTGATGTGGTCGCTATATCGGACCTTTTTGGTAAAGAGGGAGCTGAGCCGAAAGGCAAAGCTCTCGATTTATCGGTCAATCTTCGGTCCCTCCCTCACCTCTGGGTTTTGAGCTTTGGGTAATGACCGGAAGAACCAGCTAGCGGATACAAGCGGTCGAAATGAGTTTCCTCTGCAGAGTGGCTGGGCGCTCCCTAAAGCCTGGTTCACACGGCAGGATATTTAGGCCGATTTAGACCCGATTTACCCCTTACGACAATCTTAAGAAACGCTCCGATTTCCGTAACAAAATCTTACAGATTATCCTGCCGTGTGTGGTGTGTTAAGACTGCACTCGTCGCTCGGAAGGACATCGGGACTGCTCCCGATCTCAAATCGGGGATATCCAACATGTTGGATTGTTTTGGCCCGATTTCTTGTCGTGTGTGGTGTCCTCCGAGGACAAGCGAGCGCGTTGCCATGACTACGGCGTGTAGCCAATAAGAAGGCGAGGTGACAAGCCGGTGAGGAAACACCGGAAAAAAACCAAAACACAGCAGCATGGCTTTGACCATTGCCTTTTCTTTGGATTACGTGTCTTCTCTGTTAACAACAAACTGCACACTATCGCCACTGCATCCTCTTCGTCCGCCATGACTGTTTACTCTGAAGTCACGCTTGATCTCGAGAGATTTTGTGAGATTTCTGTCTGACCTGGGAATGCTCGGGGGGGGGTGTCGGTTTGTGTGTGATGTTTGTGGCTTGCGTGATCTTGCCGTGTGGCTACGCACCACACACTGCACGACCAAAGTGGTTAGACGCAGGATTTTTAATCTCCCCGGTTACCATGTGGGGTCTAACACGGAGAAAAATCGGCCGACAATTTTAAAATCGTCTCGTGTGAACCAGACATTTTTTTTGTTTTTGTTTGTTTGTTTGTTTATTCGGTCATGGAAATTATTATTTTTTGACATAAAAAGGCAATAACAAAAGGACAAGGTTACTAAAACACTGTATCTTACAGTATGTCAGTGGTGTACATGCTTTAACATAGATTTACAAACGCAGTTGTGACCGAAGGGATTAAGCTGAAGTATAACTTATTTTTGCCTAATCCAATTTCATTAAGTAAAGTCTCCAAAGTATGGGGCAAAACCCTTTCAAAATAGAAGCCAAACTAAATTTCAAGATCAGGAGAAAATGTAAATAAAATAAAACAATAGGACGGACAGATATTAATCATTTGAGAAAACAATTACATTTTAACAACAAAAGGAAACAGCAAAAGGCTGTCATAGAAATGTAGGAGAGCTGCGAGACCTATCATTCTTGGGCTTGGTAATTTTCTAAAAAAAATATGTTTAATATTATTTTTAAACGGCTTTAATGTGTAGGAGTTTGTAATTGTGTTGTCTAAGTTGTTCCATAGCCTCACTCCTCTGACCGAGACACATCTTATTTTTTTTGTTAGTTCTTGATTTATTTATTTTGAAAATCCCTGTTCCTCTAAGACTGTAACTACTATTTCTATGTTCAAACAAATTTTGAATATTAGGAGGAAGATTACTACTGTATGCTGAGCCCTACATACCACAGCCAGTGTACTCAAATCAACAATATCATACATTTTTAAACTTCTGGATAAAGAGAGGGTTGGTCGGTGCGTAGTAGTCTGCTTTAAACACAATTTGTACGGCCTTCTTTTGAAGTAGAAAGATTGGTTCAATGTTTGTTCTATAATTGTTTCCCATATTTCAACACCCAATTTCAATTTAAGATTATAAGATCATATATGCTAAGCTTCCACGGCTGCGTGTTGCATCAACTCGTAATCTCCTAGGCACTTTATTTGTCCCTCCTTTTCTATTTCTTTAGCGCATTGATCTCTCCCGTTTACTATTACACGTTAGTTAATTTGTATTTCAATATAATAGTTCCAACTGATAAAATAAATATAGACTATTTTTTTGTCAGGTTCATGGCGAGTATGTTATCGGAACAAACCATCCTTTCGACGTTAGTTCTTGCTGAAGGTAAGTACCAAATGAATCTCCATGTGGAGTCTGGTTTCACAGAGAAATAGAGGAGCTGAAGCATCAGCCGCTACACAATAGGCATTTAACCTATTTTCCAATATCCTCCCAGACATCATTGATATAACATTAGTAAATTAAGTTTTGGTCGCCAAAATTGACCCTTGTGAACTCCGTGTGTTATGAACTGTGTGAGGGATCTTTTTACAGAACACACGGCTGAGTCGGAAAGGGCGTTTTCAGAAGTTTTTAATTAAAAACTCAGTAGAAAAAACAGTGGGAAATTACAAAAACCGTATTTACAGAGCACAGTGAAAAGTCTTCAGGCGAAAAGGATATTTACAAATAAAAATATACACAACTTCTGCAATAAGTCTCTTTTCCCTTACTTTCCACTCAAGCTCCTGCAGTCCACATTACCTTCTCTGTAATGAGTCACACCCCAAATGGGGCAGACAAGCACACCTTTTGTATCCTGCTGGCCCCTCCTACATTACAAATCAACTATCCTAATATTACATCATATCTACAATACATGAGTATTTCCCTAGGTTAATGATTTCATATTACTGTTCCACATTGACACATTTATTATAAAATACATTGAGAAAAAGATGGCGGCAGGCAGACTCGGCGCACTGGCAGCACTCTTAGTATATAGTCTCATTTTAACGTTTTTAAATATTGGCCCTTGTCAAAACCCTGAACTGACTGGGTCTAACAAAGATTACCCATTGCACCAAAATGTATTCTTTGACGACAGTGTAAAACCTACTAAACACTTTGGATTCGGGAGCAACGTATTGCTGGACACTATCATTCACACATCCTGGACTATTGCAAAAAAACGGAGAACTATAACAACAAAAAACCAACGAAGCGACAGAATTATCATCGTTCTTTGTCTGCTACTCGCCGGAGACATTCACCAATGCCCTGGACCCATCTCAACAAAAGTCACCAATAATGCACAGGTAAACGCGGACTACCCGACTGCTACTCTTACCGGTGGTGGCGGCGGTGGCGTTGTTCGGCCTGTGGTGTCGAGTGGGCCGACGACGGCATTCGAGTTGCATGTTGTGGGCCCTGGCTCACTGGAGGATCTCCACGTCCGCTCCACGTTGCGGGAGTCGCGGAGGCCCGGTGGTGTCGTTGGCTCTGGCGGGATCGCCAGTCTACAGGCTGTGCAGTGTGCGAGGCGCACTGGTCCGGTGCAGCAGGAGCGTCCGACTAGACATCCACGCATCAACGATCGTTCCGAGTGCAAAGATGAACGCGTCTCGAGGGCAAGAACAAAAGCGGCTACCTTAAATCCTGCCATTAAAAAACTCAAAAAGATGCCCAATTTACAGACAGTTAATAGTGCCCGTGTCCTCTGGGATCCTTTGGCTAAACCCAGGGGCCTACTGGGAGGCCATTTAAATATTCGCAGCATTACCCCTAAAAGTGACCAGGTCAAACATCTTCTCCTAGAATCTAATGTGGACTTTCTATGTCTGTCCGAAACATGGCTCCACAATTACTCTCCATCTGCTGCACTGACTGTACCTGGCTATACAATCTTCAGGAAGGACAGAACAGAGGGAAAAGGGGGAGGCCTTCTGGTCTATGTGCGCAATACTATTCAATGTCATCTGATTCAGTGGTCCCCTGATCTGGACCTTGAATGCATAGGACTTAAAGTTGAATTGTCTCCACAAATGTCATTCACCCTTATAGGAATCTATCGGCCACCAAAATCTCCTAAAAACATTTTTTATGAACAGCTAGATTTAATGCTTAAACAATGTAATTTTAATAAAGAAGTCCTCTTGATGGGTGATTTTAACATTAATTATGAAGACAAAATCATGAGAAAAACCCTTAAGACTATAACAACAAAGTATGACCTGGTACAGCTTGTTAAGGGTCCAACAAGGTTAACTTCTACCACAAAGTCCCAAATTGATTTGCTGTTTACCAATAAACCAGATAGGATTATAAAATCTTTTAACATGATCACTGGGTTATCGGACCACAACCTAACACTTGTGTCTAGAAAATTACCAAGAAGAAGATATAATCAAAGTGAAACCAAAAGTGGATATTTTAAAATCCCCAAAACTGAGCTTCATAATTTCAATGCTAAAATGAATGAAATCAACTGGGGTGAACTGGTGTTAGGAACTGCTGTGGAAACTGACTGTCACACGTTCATCTCTACAATCAAATCAATATTAAATCAGTTTCAAAAAGAAACAAAACAAAGACGTTTAAAAAACAACACAATTCTCCCATGGATAAACGAAAACATAGTAAAATTGATGAAAGAGAGAGATTTGGTCTTAAAAGCAGCGTTAAAATCTAAAGAAATGCATGAAAAGCGCAGGTATACGACCCTCAGAAATAAAGTAATAAAAGAACTAAGAAATGCCAAAGCATCCTTTTTTATAACTAAAATCCAGGAAGGGAAGGGAAACTGTAAAATGATTTGGGACCAGCTAAAAAAGCTGACAGGAAAATATCACAAAATTGCAGACAGTAAATTGCAATTACAGATAAACGGCTGTTTAACAGAAGATCCATCACAAGTTGCGTCTGCTTTTAATGTGCATTTTGTTCACTCGGTTACTTTGTTAACACACAAACCTCCTGTTAACTCTTTACAAGAAGTACCCTTAAATTTAACTGACCCGGTGTTTTGTCTCAATGAAGTCACACAACCAGAGGTAGACAAAATAATAAGTACGCTTAAAGACTCCAGATCAAAGGACGCTTATGGGATGGACTCTATACTGCTGAAGACTCACAGAGAGACTCTGTCTGGCCCTATCACCAAAATAATAAATGCGTCCTTTAGACAGGCTTTGTGCCCAAGTGACTGGAAGCCAGCCATCGTCACTCCGGTCTTTAAGTCAGGAAAAACAAATGAGGTCACAAACTACAGACCTATCAGCATTCTTCCTGTGGTGTCAAAGATTGCTGAGAGGTGCGTCGCAGACCAGCTATTGGCCCATCTTAATAACTCCCCGTACAAACTACACCCCATGCAGTTTGGCTTTAGAGCCAACCATTCCACCGACACTGCCACTTGTTTTTTTATTGAAAAATGTGAAGTCCAAGATGGACAGAGGGGGTGTAGTTGGTGCCGTTTTTCTGGACTTAAAAAGGGCATTTGATACCATCAGCCATGACGTTCTCATTTCAAAATTATCGCGGTTCAACTTCTCACCTGATGCTGTTCATTGGATAAAATCGTACTTGGATCACAGAACACAAGCTGTTAGGGTCAAAAATGAATTGTCTTGTAACCTTGTCAATGGTATAGGTGTACCCCAGGGTTCAATACTGGGGCCACTTTTATTCAGTCTCTACATAAACGACCTGCCATCTGTGTGTTCTGATTGCGAGATACAAATGTACGCAGATGATACTGTGATCTATGTCCATGGGAAGGACAAGGAGGAAGTAGCTAAAAAGCTTTCGAAAACTATGGAGTTTGTTTCCCAATGGCTGTACAATTCGTGTCTACATCTAAATCTTAAAAAGACGGAGTGTATATTTTTTACAAAGAGAAAGTCTGACTTACCAGATCCTGAACTATACATTGCAGGAGAGAAGATTAGTGTGGTAACAGAGTATAAATATCTGGGAATCATCTTAGATTCACAATTTACGTTTAAAAAGCAGGTCAAAAAAGTCATTTGGACCGTTAAACTAAATCTCGCAAATTTTAGGTACATCAGACAGAGTTTGAATACAGATGCTGCAAAATTATTTTTTTATACTATGATAATGCCACATCTGTCCTACTGTGTCACCAGCTGGTCTCAGGGCTGTAAGACGACGCTGAAACCAATCGATTCAGTGGTCCCCTGATCTGGACCTTGAATGCATAGGACTTAAAGTTGAATTGTCTCCACAAATGTCATTCACCCTTATAGGAATCTATCGGCCACCAAAATCTCCTAAAAACATTTTTTATGAACAGCTAGATTTAATGCTTAAACAATGTAATTTTAATAAAGAAGTCCTCTTGATGGGTGATTTTAACATTAATTATGAAGACAAAATCATGAGAAAAACCCTTAAGACTATAACAACAAAGTATGACCTGGTACAGCTTGTTAAGGGTCCAACAAGGTTAACTTCTACCACAAAGTCCCAAATTGATTTGCTGTTTACCAATAAACCAGATAGGATTATAAAATCTTTTAACATGATCACTGGGTTATCGGACCACAACCTAACACTTGTGTCTAGAAAATTACCAAGAAGAAGATATAATCAAAGTGAAACCAAAAGTGGATATTTTAAAATCCCCAAAACTGAGCTTCATAATTTCAATGCTAAAATGAATGAAATCAACTGGGGTGAACTGGTGTTAGGAACTGCTGTGGAAACTGACTGTCACACGTTCATCTCTACAATCAAATCAATATTAAATCAGTTTCAAAAAGAAACAAAACAAAGACGTTTAAAAAACAACACAATTCTCCCATGGATAAACGAAAACATAGTAAAATTGATGAAAGAGAGAGATTTGGTCTTAAAAGCAGCGTTAAAATCTAAAGAAATGCATGAAAAGCGCAGGTATACGACCCTCAGAAATAAAGTAATAAAAGAACTAAGAAATGCCAAAGCATCCTTTTTTATAACTAAAATCCAGGAAGGGAAGGGAAACTGTAAAATGATTTGGGACCAGCTAAAAAAGCTGACAGGAAAATATCACAAAATTGCAGACAGTAAATTGCAATTACAGATAAACGGCTGTTTAACAGAAGATCCATCACAAGTTGCGTCTGCTTTTAATGTGCATTTTGTTCACATCGGTTACTTTGTTAACACACAAACCTCCTGTTAACTCTTTACAAGAAGTACCCTTAAATTTAACTGACCCGGTGTTTTGTCTCAATGAAGTCACACAACCAGAGGTAGACAAAATAATAAGTACGCTTAAAGACTCCAGATCAAAGGACGCTTATGGGATGGACTCTATACTGCTGAAGACTCACAGAGAGACTCTGTCTGGCCCTATCACCAAAATAATAAATGCGTCCTTTAGACAGGCTTTGTGCCCAAGTGACTGGAAGCCAGCCATCGTCACTCCGGTCTTTAAGTCAGGAAAAACAAATGAGGTCACAAACTACAGACCTATCAGCATTCTTCCTGTGGTGTCAAAGATTGCTGAGAGGTGCGTCGCAGACCAGCTATTGGCCCATCTTAATAACTCCCCGTACAAACTACACCCCATGCAGTTTGTCTTTAGAGCCAACCATTCCACCGACACTGCCACTTGTTTTTTTATTGAAAATGTGAAGTCCAAGATGGACAGAGGGGGTGTAGTTGGTGCCGTTTTTCTGGACTTAAAAAGGGCATTTGATACCATCAGCCATGACGTTCTCATTTCAAAATTATCGCGGTTCAACTTCTCACCTGATGCTGTTCATTGGATAAAATCGTACTTGGATCACAGAACACAAGCTGTTAGGGTAAAAAATGAATTGTCTTGTAACCTTGTCAATGGTATAGGTGTACCCCAGGGTTCAATACTGGGGCCACTTTTATTCAGTCTATACATAAACGACCTGCCATCTGTGTGTTCTGATTGCGAGATACAAATGTACGCAGATGATACTGTGATCTATGTCCATGGGAAGGACAAGGAGGAAGTAGCTAAAAAGCTTTCGAAAACTATGGAGTTTGTTTCCCAATGGCTGTACAATTCGTGTCTACATCTAAATCTTAAAAAGACGGAGTGTATATTTTTTACAAAGAGAAAGTCTGACTTACCAGATCCTGAACTATACATTGCAGGAGAGAAGATTAGTGTGGTAACAGAGTATAAATATCTGGGAATCATCTTAGATTCACAATTTACGTTTAAAAAGCAGGTCAAAAAAGTCATTCGGACCGTTAAACTAAATCTCGCAAATTTTAGGTACATCAGACAGAGTTTGAATACAGATGCTGCAAAATTATTTTTTTATACTATGATAATGCCACATCTGTCCTACTGTGTCACCAGCTGGTCTCAGGGCTGTAAGACGACGCTGAAACCAATCGATTCTGTCTATAAGCAGGCTCTGAAAGTTTTGGACAAGAAACCTTTTCGTCATCACCACTGCAGTATATTGGACAAATATAACCTGCTGAATTGGGAAAACTTTGTAAAATTTCATGATGCTAATATGGTTTTTAAAATTTTACGTGGTTTGGCTCCTCCCACCACTTTTTAATTTTATAAATCTGAGCAGGCGACAAACT